GAAAGAAAAACGAAAATCTCAAAAAAAACTAATGTTGAAAATATATGAACAAAATTAAAATATTTTTTTATATAACTTATAGGATTATTTCTTTCCATCAAAAATTTTAAATAATTTTTTTTATCAAATTAAAGCTTGGCAAAAGTTATTTGTATTATTCAATTTAATTGTACGGTTTAACTTAATAACCAAATTAAAACAAATTAAATGATTAGTATTAGATGCCTATTATATTAGGCTTGCTACTCTTACGGTTCTTCATCAAATTATTGTTCTTTTATAGTATTCTTTTGGATCCAAATTCATTTTCATATCCGATGTGGGATTTTGAAAAATATTATTTTTATATGTATAATTAAATATAAGTACGAAAATTAGAATATAGAAATCTCATTGTTAAAGAAGCCACAAATCTCGTGATTATTGGTAATAAAATATTTTAATTTCTAAAATTTCGAACGTATTTATTATAATATGAGTTTATAGAAAGATTTATATAAATTATAAATACTAAGAAAGAAAAACGAAAATCTTAAAGAAAACTAATGTTGAAAATATATGAATAAAATTAAACTATTTTTTATAATTAATAAGATTATTTCGTTCAATCAAAAATTTCAAATAACTTTTTTTATCAATTTATAGTTTTACTAAAGTTATTTCTATTATTCGGTTTAATTGCAAGTTTAACTTAATAACTAAATTAAAATGAATAAAATGTTTAGTTTTAGATGCCTATTAGGTTAGACTTACTGCTTGTTTCATCAATTTGTTTTTTATATTATTTTTTTGGATCCAAAATCATTTTCATATATGATGTCAGATTTTGAGAAATATTATTTTTATTAGTATATAAATACGAAAATTAGAATATGAAAAATCTCATTAGGATACTATAAATCTCGTGTTTATTGATAATAAAATATTTTAATTGCTAAACTTCTGAACGCAATTATTATACATAAATTTTAAGAAATGTCACTTTTCAAGTGTCACTTTTCGAAAATGTCACATTTTCAAAATCTTTAATGCCACATTTTCAAAATTATTTTTTTTCATTATAACATTTATGTTTGAGTTAACTATGTTGTATTAGGGCTTATTTTTAAGGGTTTTAGAGGTTGTATTCGTTGTATATGTGGTAAACTGTATTTGGTTTTTGTATTATGTGGTATATAATATATTCTAATTTTAGATATGTATGTTTTTAGCTTGTAGGTGGAACTGATTAGTTTCAAATAATATGATAGTTTTTGTTTTTCGGTTGTAGGTAGAAATGGAGTAGTTTGAAGTATTGTATATATTGAATAGTTATTAGTGGGAGTATAAACAATTGCCTATGGGGTTGATTGGTTTACCCTAGCACCCATAAACACTGCGTTGTTAGCGTTTGACAACAATCATAAAAAATGATTTATATCGCTTCGTATCGCTCTAAACCTCTGAAAACCAAAAGCTGCTTTCTTCATGGGTTTGCGGTTGGGTAATTAAAAAAAATAAAAATTGATTGTTT